TTTGGAGATTATAATTTACAGAATATTCTGCAAGGGTATATCAACTTCGGCTCCGCCCGAAGTTAGCTTTTCTTTCTTGTCTGTGTTTGTTTTTATACCCTTGCAGAAGGTATTATAATTTTGGTCAAAAGTGTGCAACGCAGTGAAGGAGACATCTCCGACCCTATAAAGTATATATATTCTTGATCAGGATCACCTCCTGAGTTGATATAGCCATGTCCGTCTGTCCGTCTGTCTGTCCGTCTGTCTGTCCGTCTGTCTGTCCGTCTGTCTGTTTCTACGCGAACTAGTCTCTCAGTTTTAAAGATATCGAATTGAAACTTTGCACACACCCTTCTTTCCTTTGCACGCAGTATATAAGTCGGAACGGCCGGGATCGGCCGACTATATCCTATAGCTGCCATATAACTGATTGATCGGAAATGCCATAACTCTGCTGTTTGTTAAGTTAGGAAGTTGGGACTCTCTATGGGTATTATATTTGGCCAATCAATCAGACGTACCAAATTTCATAAGGATCGGCCGACTATATCCTATAGCTGCTATATAACTGATTGATCGGAAATGCCATAGCTTTGGTGTTTGTTAAGTTAGGAAGTTGGGATTTTCTATGGGTTTTATTTTTGCCCAATCAATCCGACATATCAAATTTCATAAGGATCGGCCGACTATATTCTATAGCTGCCATATACATAACTGAAAGATTGGAAATGCCATAACTTTGGTGTTTTTAAAGTTGGGAAGTTGGGATTTTTTATGAGTATTAAGAATGCATCATATGAATAATTTTGGAGAATATAATTTGAAGAATATTCTGCAAGGGTATTTCAACTTCGGCTCCGCCCGAAGTTAGCTTTCCTTTCTTGTTTTAAATCGTATTTTATGATGAGAGGTTCCTTATAGATTATGTGAGAAATTCTCCCCTCGATGACTTTCTCTCACTTCTATTTTGCTTTTCTTATTTTCCTTTTTTTAACTTCCCAATTTTGTTATTTTTGCCCCGTATAAATGATATAAATATCATTCACACTTGCACCTTACCGACAGATGCACATGCATACACACCCTCCTAAGTGTTTGGCATGCATATTTAATGCCAGTTTATGGAAGTTACCACTTCCCTTTGAGACGTTGCAATTTATTGATTTAGTTCGTGTTTTATTAAATTTCCTTCTTTTTCTTCATTTTATAGGTCCATGACAGGCTTTTGGCTTGAATAAATGATGATGCTGCCAATGTTGAAGAGCTTAAAATTCATGACTAAGGGAGCATTAACATTTTGAAAGTTTCTCCAGAATTTGGTGTGCACTTTAGAAATATCGAATGGAAGGGGGAAGGCTAAAGTCAAAGTCAATTGTCTTTGGTTTTGGTATTTAGGGTTCGTTGGCTGGGCTTACTCATCTTCTGAATTTTAAATTTATTATTTTCCCCATTTCATTGGGTTTTTGATAATTTTCGCTTAAGCCATTTCATTAGCAACCGAAACTTTTCAACCCGCCATTCCTTCTTCTAATTTTTTTTACTTATTGTCAACAGTTTTTGTGAACCGAACTTCTGCCGCAGCCTCTTATCAGTGGTATGTTTTCTCGAGAGGAGAATACATCCCCAGTTTATCGTACATTAAGCCCGTTTGATAAGTGCTCAGTCTGTTTTCCTTATATCTTCCCAGGGCGCTAGCACTTTGAACTCTGAGGTTTGCCCTGTAAAATTTTCTTTTAGTTTTTCAGCTTGGAGTTTGTGGTTACCCTTTTTTCCTGCTATTCAGAGATGTTTGCTGCTCCTAATTGAATGGCCCCACAGTCTTACAATTACATGCTACTCTGTGAATGCAATTCACATTCCCCTTCCTTGCACCTCCATCTCCTCCGCTTTTCCCCGCCTAATTTTCCCCTTGTAGTTGCCGCTTTTCCCGCCCTAATAGAGGCTAATGAACTGCGGCTGCGGATTGGGAGGGGAAACTCCATGAAGGGGGCGAATCTCAGAACAGGTAGAGTTGTGTGTACATAAACCTAATTAGTGAGGTGAAGATGATCCATTCAATTCAATTGCCGTCTGAGTCCTGACATTTGTGGAGAGAGGGCAAAACTTAATGAAATTATTTTATCAAATAGACATTAGTCCGTCATAAAGGAAATAATTAATTTGTATTGCACAAAATGTTGAAAACTAAAACGTAATAGATGGAAAATATTATTAAGACATATTAATGCATCGAATTTTCACGGCAATAGCATTTTGGGTTTGTTAATAAATAAATTTAAAATATTAGGAAGAATCGTTTTTAAAAAATAATTGTAATTGTTTGAAATATTACCAAATTGTACTTAAAATCTTTAGTGAAATTAAAACAACGAGACGCATTGGTTTTACGGTGCTGAGGAAATTAAAAAGTACATTTTTTTTTAGAATGAGAAGCGAAACTTAAAAAAAAATTTATTTTTATTTTTGTTGTGAAACCCATGTAACAATAACCCTTTATAACAACATTTAAAGGCAGCTCGTTAAATTGTCTTTAACAATTGCTCACCTAAGCTTAATAACAACAGTCAGCCATAAAGGAAAATAAAATAAATCAATTAAATTCCATGCTGGCAGCAAACAAAATCTGCGGCACATAAACATTTAATAATTAATCTTTGTGGCACAATAGTTTGCATTAAATTAAAATGGCAACCGTCTGCATAACATTTATAAAAGCAAATCCAAACAATTGAAAGCCGTTACGAGGTTTTTGCGGATCGCAAATTGAATTTGATGTTCGGAGGACATTTTAATATTTGTTTCAAATATTTTCGCTGATACTTAAATGGTTTTTTTTGTGCGCATTTAGTGTCAGACCTATGTGCATATGCATATGAACAATAAAATCCGATTGTTTCGACGGGCTTTGGTTTTTTTTTGCGGGACAAATAAATGACATTTACTGCTATCTATACGTATTTAGGTTCAGTGTGGTTTGTTGACGGGTCATTTGGGTGAATCCCTCTAGGAAAAACAAAGCCACAACAACACAAACATTGACCCACATTTCAATTTATTTTATTTGCTGCGGGTGTCGTTGTGGCGCATTCGTGATTTGTGCGAGAAAAACACAAATGAAAGTCATAAATTGTAGTCCAACATGGCCCTTTTTCCCATTTCCCATTTCCCGAACCCATCTCGTCCAGGCTTCCTCTAAATAGATGTGGGTCACAGGGTAAGTAATGTAAGTAATGTAGTAATCGTGGGATATGGCCATGGAGGCCCAAAGACATTCGCCAGTCAAATCAGCGTCAAGTTCGCGAGCCAACGTTTCAATTAAAGTAAGTTCGCGGCAAATGATTCAGACTGTCAGACTGTCGGCAGACGGGAGCCAGACAAGTCACGTTTTCTTTTCCAGCGCCAAGAGCTATATATGGAAATGAATCGGTCGGGCTTTATACCCTACATGGAAGTGGGTCGAACGCAAGTCTTGAATTGAATCGGATTCGGTGATGGAGAGCGGAAGTCTTGCTTTGTTTGTTTGGAACTTATAGTCACTAATGTATAAACATATGGGCATTTTACAGAACCATTTGTAACTCGTTTCAAAAACTTTAAAAGAACATGGATGATTAATAACTTTGAAAAAAGAATACTCTTTGTATGACGAATATTTATGAATATCATTTAAAATTGTATTTACATTTGATCTTCTAAAACCCAAACTTCCCCAACTTAAAGTAGTATTATTTACTATTAGAAATTTAACTCGAAGTTTCCAAAACTCAAGCCTCATTCTTCTTTATTTATATGAGCACTGTGACTAAGAATTCATGTTCGAGGGCATTCAAATCTTCCCCATAGATTTCTCCCCTCATTTTCCGATGATTTTGCATGGCAGTCGGCGGCAGTCGACGCCAGTTTTTAATTGAATATTCAAAGCACAGACTTTGCATCGGCATGGCGCACATCGAATTGATGGACAGGTCTTTGGTGGGTGCGACTCTGTTCAAATAGAGATCCGTTCTCTATTCAGTGTGTAAATATTTGCAAAGCGATTGCAGATGCAGTGGGAGATGGGGATTGGGATCTGGTTGTCGATCGTTGCTGTTGATGGTTGACCAACAAATTGGTCACGATCGTTAAGCAAGACGCCTATTGTAATTGTTCGGAATCGGAATCGTTTGCAGGTCATCCACCCGGGACTCAACAGATGCATTTACAATTTATGTGCACATAGACGATCGCCGTGATGATGGGGGCGTATATGCATGAGGCAAGTTCAATGCAACGGAAGTGCCGGCGATTGTCAGGAGTGGTTGCGATGCGGTTTCGGTGTGGTTTCAGTTCAATTTGCGTGTCTATATTTTACATGACAAATCGACAGGCATTGACTAGGCACTCTTATAAAAATGGGCACGCTTAGCAGTGCCTAACAATTTTCATTTATTAAAAAATTTTTTTGAACGACATCCTAACAACTAGTAAATTAAATGTATAATATACACATATAAGTGTAAAATGATATACAAAAATGAAATCAAAATGTGCGGTGCTGTGAAGAAATAAATGTGATAAAGCCGTTACAAAACGCAATAGTTACATTCAACATATGATCAATTCTCTCGTAATTTTCTCAAATATCGAAGCAGTACTACCTATATCATATTGCTGCCATAAAAACGATCGAAAAATTACAATACAAGCAAACCTCTGTTGCATTAAGCGCATTCGCATTAAACCCCTCATTTAGTTGGTTGATCGACGTTTATTAAATCTATATGTTAAACCAAAAAAAAAAAAACATAAGGCCCCAGACACATTCATTTTTTAAATTCTGAAATATTATTTTAATATTACTAAAAGCGGATTCTAGGTTTAGGGTCAAAAGACCGCCGGTTTCTTTGCTTTTAGGCGCATTGTGTTCAATGAAACGTTTCCATTATACAAATTGCTGGTGTATCCGCTATTATTTTGACCGCAACTGTCTACAAGAAAACCGCCATGTGGGAGGGTTTTATGTTGGTGGCGGTACTTACTTGGTCGCCGTTGTCTTCTAATGTCTTAGCCGCACTTACCTGCAACGAAAAGAGGAAGAAGAAAAATTATTTCAGTTGCACTTGAGTTCGGTTCAGATGTTTGTCCGTGGGCGGATCGAAACAAAGTTGCAATTGTCTGAGCCGGAGTTCTGTAACATTTCTGCCACTTGCTAATGTGAGGCAGCCATTCAGCCATTCAGTCATTTGGCCTGGCCAAAGTTTCCACTCTTTTTAGGAGAGCATAAAAAAGTTACTGCCAGTAGTTAAGCCCGAAGACAAAACCGAGTTGGCTAACAAGCGCCGAGATATCGGGGAGTGTGTTGCTTACATTAAATCAAAATTGGTAGCAGGAGTGTGAGTTCGGAAAGCACGTGGAAAGGCCAATTACAAAGTCATAATAGGAACTCTATTTATCAGAGCAGAATGTGTATAAAACAAATATAAGGTAAATGTATAAATATTTACAAAATAGTTGTTTGATAACGGCTATTTAATTAAGCAGGGGTGACACAGAATTCACCTCACCTTTGATTCCGCAAAAATTTGATGAGTCAGGGACTACTGATGAAGATCTTTCACTAAATACTCCTATGCAACATTTCTTTAAAAATACATTTTTATGGGAAATGAGGTAGAATTCTCTTTCGCTGATATCTCAAAGAAAATTTTAAAACTGTTTAGAAATAAATACTTTGAAGTCAAATAGTTGTACCTGGCCATGTCGCTAAGGAATGTCGTAATTTTTTGAACTTAGGTGTTAATTTTTTCAGATCGCAATTCGAAAGCTGCGATCGGAAATCTATTAGAAGATAATCATTTGATAAATTAAAAAATTAAAAATTTATTTTCTGCTCAAAGAAGTAAGAACAATCATTAACAAACATAAGGGTATTTTAAATTGCCTTAGCAGAACATTTTAAAACGGTTTGTCAAAATTGCATTCGCAATAGTGATAATATTTCTTTAAAGAGTTTATGTTCATTGTAGTGATTTCGATTTGATAAAAAGGGAAAGCTTTTTTTATTATTAAATACTATAAAAACACTCAACAGTGACAAATATTCCATTATATTTCCATTATAACTCAAATTCTACTCAACCTGCACCGATAACCCATAGTTTTGTTTAAGTTTACAAAAGACACTGCCGCCTAAGGTTTTCCCATCATATGTTTTTTTCCATACGAATCTCCATATAACCATAATCACCTCGTACTCAAACATTGCAGAAACCCAAATCAAATGTGGGTGTGCCTTGTTTCCCGTCTCTTTCTTTCTCTAACTTGACTGTCTTCTTTTATTGTTGCGTGTGCGCTATTGCAGCAACCTGCAACTTGTTGAGTCACTGGGGTGTTTAGTATCTTAGCAACAATATTGCTGGGAGGATCTAGGTGATAAATGATAGATCAATCAGATATACCGATTTTTATATCGTTAATAAGCTGAAACTGATTTTTGTTCAACTTTTCAGTTCCAGCTATAGTAAACGTAATGTTTTAAGAAAGCATTTATAGTTTTTTCTCAGTTTGTACTACCGATAGTATCGTATCATGTCATCTCTAATTTATGAATTTTAGTCTTATGAAAGTAAAATGGCCTTCCGATCACCCCGCAAAAGTCTTTGAAATTGGCATAAGCTGTCAGGTCAAATGTATGTATTTTATTTGTTGCTCCTGTGCAACTTTCACCCAAGCGTTTAATCTCCTTTTTTAAACACAAAAAATGAATTTTTCCGTGGGTGGTCTGCAGCCATGCCTTAATTTAATTAGTGCAAAGAAGAGATTGCCACAGTGCACAATTAAAAATAGTTTTCAATCAACAAAAAAGTCAATTAATACGCTATAAACGCCACTAACACATGCCGCTTCAATTTAAGCTTGGGTTTTCCTGCTAAATGAGTTTTAATTGCTCAGACATTCGCGAAGCAACTAGCAAAAAATCCTAGACAATTGGACAACTATCAAATGAACAAAAATAGTTGATTTCGCTAATTGCACAGCAGATTTTTTTCCTAGCTGAATTGTTTTTACTTGAGATTAAGCTCCATAGTTGTTTAGCTTGGTTTTGTGGCTATTTTGTAATGCTTTATAGGCTGTTAAGTAAAACGAAAACTATTTTTCGAAATTTTCTGCGTTTTTCTTTTCCAAATGTCTCATATACAAATATTTTATCAGCTCAAAACTTTTTTACCTGTAATTATTTAAAATTTGACTTCCTAATCTTTGGATTGAGTGACTCCAACGCGTACCCACAATTTTTTTCTGAAAATGATTCCTTCAATTTAGGAGTCATTGGTGTCAACTGTTGAATAATGTTTTCTTCAATTTTAAAAAACCGTTTAGAAAGTGCGTGTCTGGCAACGCCTCCAGTTTTTTTGCGGGTGCCAAGCCCCAAAATCACATTCAATTATTCCCTTCACACCAAACGAATTATGCAAAAGTGTCACAGCCATTACAAGCCGTCTAGTGAACACCCTACTTCTCTCCCATTCCTTATTTTTCTCTAGGGGAACCAGAATAGGATCCGAATTCCAGCCAGGGAAATGCCCCACCCCCCCCGCTTCACTAAAAGAGATGTGGGCACGCGACAATTAGCACATCATTCACACATGTGTGACAAAGGCAGAGAAATGGTGAAAAGAGGGGGTGGTGTCAGCGGGAAGGGGAAGGGTGGCAGAATCGGAGAGAGAGCCAGTGAGAATCCGCTCTGTGAGCGTGTCGCTTTAACGAGAAATGGAGCATTTTATGCTCCAATAAAAATAATTAAGTGGCGTAATTGATAATGACTTTTTTCCTCCGTTGTTTTTTGTTTGGCGTGAGTTTTATTTTTCGTGTCATAATTTTGTGAATTTATGGCATCATTTTGAAAGGCGTTACCAGCGTTTTTTCATGTCTTCATTGTTTGTGTGCGTCGTCAGAAGCGTGACAATTTTATAAACGATGATGATAAGCAAAAGGCAAGTGTGTTTTGGGGAATGTGGATGCAAATGAGCGCCCAGCTGATTAGCTGAATGTTTGTCGGAGCTTCCGAAGGAAAGTGCAACTGATAGAAGCTATTTTCACTAAGTCACCAAAGATTAGTGTGTTTTAAATTAATATTAGGCAAGGAACGAAATGTAGTTTCATTAAAATATAGTTGTTAAATATGTCAAGTCAATTGAGGGAATCCACAAAACTTTGAAAATATGTATAGAACATTGTTAGGATATTTTTCTCGTAAGAATTACTGCTACCTCTTATTTTGATAATATCTCAACAAGAAATGGTAGGGAAACTAGTACAATACATACAATATAAATTTCTTATTATTATGCGGCCATAATAATAAGTTCGAGGTTCAAAAAAACAAATTATAATAATGTTATGAAAATATGATAATTTTAATATTAGGAAGCCATCAAAATGTATAACCTTAAATATTGTAGCTTCAACTCGAGGTAAGTCCCTTTACAGCGCACTGTGTTCTTTTAATTTATGTTGTGTTGGGCAGCAATCTTTATTCACGCTTTCAATACTGGCAACTTCAACAAGCTCATAGATCACTTTAATGGCATTCGGTCTGGGCACTCCGTCTCTTTCTGAGCCCAATTGTCCGTCTCTTTCTCCGGTTCTTATTTAAAGTGCTCGCCCTCTCTGTTTTAGCCATCAAGGAAGGCCGCCTCTTTCACATTGGTAGGCAGTCGAGTGGGGCGGTGGGCGTGGTAAAAGTTCAACAGTTCGACGGAGCTCTTGATACTTTTTATGTTCTCGTTGTCATTGCACGTTGCACTCTCCGCTTGTCAATGACAGAGCTTGAACAAGTTTTTTCTTTCGCCAGCACTTTTTATCCATTTTTCGATTTTGACTTAGTCGGTGTGTGTACAACTGTACAACAAACAGGAATCATGTTGGGAATTGTTGATGCACTCGAGATACTCGAACTTGCAAAAAGGAAAAGTGAATCAGGATGGCAACCGGGCGAAAATCCAACTAAATCAATGTTGAAGTCTGAATAAAGTCCAGCAGAAATGAGGTTAAAATTGCGGATGTCTTGAATTCGAATTGAGAGAAAAATTCGGAGTCCTGATAGCCATAACAAAGCCTAATACAATTGAAACAAGTAATTTACTTTACTTTTAAGAAGAAAATCATAAATTATAAGCATTAAATTAGAATTCTTTAAAGAAAACAAAGCAATTAATTTGTTGTAGGAAACATAATTTACTTTAATTCTTTGTACTAGCTTTGCTATACAATAATTATTACAATTACAAATCCTTAAAATGTATTTTCCATTCCTTTGTTTGGGGTTCCACTAATCAAATCACTTTTTAAACCTATTTATAAACAGTGCTGCACTAAAACAAGGGGAAATTACATCGAAACCACAACATTGAATATTTCCATTGTGTTGCTTAATTTCCCTTCCAAAACGGAAGGTAAAACGGACAAACACTAATTAGCAACGCCCACTTTCCGTTTCCATTGGATCTATTTCAAAATGTATCTGACGAGTGCATAACCTTTTCAGTGCCCACTCACCGTTCGATTTCATTTTGGATTACGCTTTTATTGATTATAAGTACTTGTGTTCAACTCGAGTTTGTGACAAGTGCTGCAAATGACACTTTAAGATTCGACTTTTGTTTGTTTATATTGAATTTGTAAAACCCTTGAACAAAAAAAAGCATGAAATCTCCCAGCATAACGAATGTAGCAAGATAAAAGCACAGTCAGTGGTGTATCATCAGTAAAGTACCTTTGTTTTGTATTTAAAGTTCAGTTTTTGGTCAATATCTGAAGTTGGAAGATAGAAAAATACATAAAAATGTTATCAAAAAATAACAAACTAACTTTGCAAGGCCAAGAACTAGGAATATATATGCAAATATATTTTCTTCAACGAATAATAATAATAATAATGAAGGCCTCTCCATTTTATTACGTTCTTTAACATCTTCCCAAAAGATCACTTTAATGACAGCAGCACGCAATAAGCCCAGATGTCGACCTTTTTTATTCCCACCCTATTATTATCAAATCAAAAGTCAATGATATCCCG